AGTCTCTGTCGTTTATTTCCTCTCTGATCTTTATTATTTCCTTCCTTGTACATACTCTGGACTTTTCTTGTTCTCTTTCTAATTCTTTAGGTAAGTTGTAGGGTTAGATAGTTTATTAGAAACATTTCTTGGTTTTTGACATAGGCTGTATTGCTATAAACTTCGCTCTCAGGACTGCTTTCGCTGTGTCTCATAGATTTTGTGTAGTTGTGTGTTCATTTTCATGTGTTTTCAGGAAGTTTTTTTATTTCTCCCTTGATCTCATTGGAACCCATTTATTATTTAATAACTTGCTATTTAGCCTTCATGTGTTTGAGAATGTTTTTGAGTGTTTTTATTGTAGTTCATTTCTAGTTTCATGCCATTGTGATCCGAGAAGATGATTGATATGATTTCAATCTTCTCACACTTTTAGAGACTTAGTTTGTGCCCTAACATGTGGTCTATCTTTGAGAATGACTCATGTGCACTTGAGAAAAATGTATATTCTGTAACTTTGGGGTAAATGTTCTTTAAATGTCAATTCTGTCTGCTATAATGTGTCATTTAGGATCATTGTTTACTTGATATTTTTGTCTAGAGGATCTATCCAGTGATGTCAGTGGGGTGTTAAAGTCCTCTACTAAGATGGTATTGCTGTCTATCTTTTCCTTAAAGTTCTCCAGAGGTGTCTTTTTATATTTGGGTGCTCCTGTATTGGATGCATATATGTTTACCAGGGTTATATCCTCTTGTTGTATTAAACCCTTCAGTATTATGTAGTGACCTTCATTGTCTTTTGTTATGGCCTTCATTTTGAAATCTGTTTGTCATATATGGTTATTGCTACCCAAGCTTTTTCTCATTTCCATTTGCATGGAATTTTTTTTCCATCCCTTCATTTTCATCCTGTGTGAGTCTTTTATTCTGAGGTGGGTCTCTTGTAGACAGCATATACATGGGTCATGTTTTCTTATCCATTCAGCTACCTGATGTCTTTTGATGGGAGCATTTACTCCATTTATATTTAAGGTTATTATTGACCAGAGGCCTCGGCCCTCATAGCCCCAGCTTCGTCTGAAAGGTCATCCGGACAGTCCTTCTGCTGTTCGGCTGTCTAAACTAATTAGCATATTAAGCTTTTATTATTCTAGATAGGTACTTTTTTTGGTCATTACTTTATTTATAACTATGTTCCTCTCTCTTCTCTATTTCTTCTTCTTATACCAGTCCCTTTAGCATTTCTTGCAGTGCTGATTTGGTGATGATTAACTCCTTTAGCCTTTTTTCTTTTTGTCTGAGAAGCTCTGTATTTCACCTTCAATTTTGAATGATAACCTTGCTGAATAGAGTAGTCTTGGATTCAGTCCCTTGCTTTTCATTACTTTGTTTATGTCATGCCACACCCTTCTGGCCTGAAATGTTTCTATTGAGAAATCTGCTGACAGTCTAATGGGAACTCCCTTGTAGGTAACTTTCTGTCTCTCTCTTGCTGCCTTTAAGATTCTTTCCTTGTCTTTATCTTCAATGTTTGCCAATTTAATTATGATGTGTTTGGATATAGTTTTTGGGGAGGGTTCATTTTGATTGCGACTCTGTGCTTTCTGAACTTGAGTGACCTTTTCCTTCACCAGGTTAGGGAAATTTTCTTTTCTTTTTTTTAAATATATTTTATTGATTTTTTACAGAGAGGAAGGGAGAGGAATAGAGAGTTAGAAACATCGATGAGAGAGAAACATCAATCAGCTGCCTCCTGCACATCTCCTACTGGGGATGTGCCCGAAACCCAGGTACATGCCCTTGACCGGAATCGAACCTGGGACCTTTCAGTCCGCAGGCCGACGCTCTATCCACTGAGCCAAACCGGTTTCGGCGATTTTTTAAGTTTTATAATACATTTATTAGAGGATACCCTCTAATAAAGACAAATTCTGATTCATCAACTTAAAAATGGTTTGTTTCTTCTTGCCATAGATGAAGTTCACATAAAGGCCTACAGAAAATTGTTACCTTCTTTATCCTGGACTTGTCCATTATCATAGCACAGTGCAATCATTTTTCCTTTGCTAAAACACATATTCAGAGCTTTTCCTATGCTTCTCTTCACAAAGTAATGCCATCACAGGCCATCATTTTTATGTTATTCATCTAAATTAATTTTTTTCATTTCTATAATCTATCATTCAATAGAAAGGTTCTGGGCATATTTGAAGAACCTCTCAAATTGCCTCCAAACCTGACTTTGAGACTATGTTGAATTTATGCTTGAACTTAGAGCTGGGTTAGGGCAGGGGCTCTGACTACTGAGACTGGAAGAGCTTATCTAGGCTTGTGGAGGGTGATTCCTAAAGAAACCATTTCTGTCTAAGCTGATATATTGTGCTTAAAAGGATGAAGTCCTTTGTCTTAGTCAGTCCTGAATTGATGTCCGAGAAAATGCAGGGAAAGCACTTTCACCTGCTATGTGGGTCAGGAATGATAAAGCAAGGTGCTTAAGCAAGAGTTCTTTTTTTTCTGTCCTTTAAATATATTAAATATTGTTATTTTATATCCTGCATTTGAATTATAATATCTGAAATCTTAACGGGTTTAATGTTGCTGTTTCTGCTGCCTTCTACTCATGGTGACTTCCTTCCTTGTATATTTTGTGACTTTTGATTGTAAAAATGTTCCTTGGAATATTATCTGTGGAACTCTTTTGAGAACTGAATTCTACTTTCATTCCTCCAGAAAGGATTTATATTTATTTCTGCTAGTCATCAAGGGACCCTTCCAACCCCTTTGTATTTAACTTTCCCAGGGGTCCACCTAGTGCCCGGATTAAGGCAGGCAAGTTTCCATACTCTCCCCTTTTGTGCAGCATGTTTATTCCTTGTTCACCTTATTGTATTGAAATTTTATATGCAGCTTCCTATTAGTTCCCTCACCTTGTGTGGGTATGAGGCTTAATCACCTTTTCCTCACATAGCACAAAGCAATCAAACTAGTTCAAGATTTCCAGGGTTCCGTAGAAATGATCACATGAAATCCAGCCTTGAATCTTGCTTAGTTCTTGCTTTCACTACACTTTCAGCCTCTGGAGATTCCTTAATTTCATGCCACCTTAGTGATGCATTTTTAAATGATTTTGAAATATTTGCTTAAGCATTTTAATTGTTTTAGCAGAAGGGTTATCCATCTTATTGTGTATACCAGACAGCTTGAAACAGAAGCTGACAATTTTCCACTTACTCTGCAGTCAGGCCTCCTTGCTAGACCTCTCCACTGAAACCACTCTTGTCAAGATCACTGATGACTCTCATATGGCCGTGTCCTGTGGTAATGATCCGTCATCATCTTACTTATTCTGCTCAAGAGGATTCAGCACAACTGATCACTCCCTCTTTCCCAAGCAGGTTCTTTCTCTGGCTCTCAAGATACCTTACATTTCTTGTTTTCCTTCTAAACCTTTGCTTTCTTGATCTCCACGGTAGAACTCATCTCCTCTTCTAGACCTAAAAATATTAAAATTCCTGAAACCTCAATCCTGAACTTTCTTCTCTATCTACATTCTATGCTATATGATCTCTAACCCAGCATGTTAATCCATCCATGTGCTGGTAACTACCAAATTTATATTTTCAGCCCAATCTCTCAGGAACTCTAGAATTACATTCAACTGTCATCTTAAACCAAACATGTTTAAAACTTATTCCTCTCCCTCCAAAAAATCTAGTTTTCCACAATTCTTTCCTGTATCTTTAAATGGCATCATCATTTATTACCCCATTGCCAGAGTCATTATGGATTTTACTCATTCCCTCCTCACACCTTTCCTCCAATCCTTCAGTGGGTCCTGCTGGTTCTGCATGCAAAATTATCTTGACTCTGACCACTCCTGATGTCCACCATGCAAGTCAAAGCCAACATCTCCTGTCACCTGGACACTGACTGTAGTCCCTAAAAATGCCCTCTGTTCTCCTATCCGCATCACCAATACCACTATCACTATCATCATTACTACCACCTCCAATAAAACCTGCTCTCCTCCAGCTACAGATCCTTTAGAAAACATAAACCAAGGCATGTCCTTCCCCTACTCAGAGTTCTCATCCCTTTACTCACGCTGCCCCCTCTATCTGCAAAGCTCTTTTCCCACTTTCTTCTGTGGCTCACTCCTTCACATCATTTACATTTTCACTTACATATCCCCTCAGGAAGGAAGCCTTCACTGACTGCTCCATGGAAAATGGTCCTAGTCTGTGTTTCTATCTCATAGCACTCATCATTATGTGAAACTATACAATTTATTGTTTCCTCGTTACGTTCCCCACTAGAAAGTAAGCTTTGTAAGGGCAGAGCCTTTGTTTATCTTGTTTATCATTCTATCCTCAGAACCTAGAAGCACAATCATAATAGATGCTCAATAAATAAATAGTTTTGAATTAAAGAATAAATTTCATTTAATTCTCACAATATCCAGTGAGACAGAAATGATCTTTTCAATCTTATAGATGGGGAAACTGAAACTCAGAGATGCTAAATGATTCGGCCATCTTGTGTCAGAATCAAACACAAATGTGTACAATTTTAGAGGCCACAGTATTTTTTTATTTTCAAATCTTAAACTTTTCACTTAGAAATAATTTCAGATTTCCAAAAACGTTGCAAAAATAACACCGAGTTCTCTTTTACCTTCACCTTCACTCAGCTTTCCCAAATGATAACATTTCTATTATCCAAAGCAGGAAGTTAATGTTGCTGGAGAATTAGCAACTATTTATATTTCATCAGTTGTCCCACTAATGTGTCATGTGAGTCTCTTCCAGAACAGAGGTCTCAGCCTTGTCTCTCATGACTGACACTTCTGATTAGGGCTGACTCTTATCATCACGATATACTGGTAGACAGTGCCCAGTGCTGGGCACATGCAAAGCTTTCCATAAAAAAAACAAAAAACTATTATTGTTGGGGAAATACATAAAACTTCCTTTTGAGGAGTGGAAGGAAAATGGCTCCTGATGTTCGTCTGTTTTGCTTAGCTTGGCAGACCTTGACGTGTTTATAAAAAATAGTGAGGGCAGCTTGCTCAAGAAAGTCGAAAAAGGAGATTCCAACGGACTGGTCGAGATTATGCAACACCTTATGGCTCTTAAAGAAAGGCAGAGCAGCACTGATGAGATGTTTGAGCCCTTAAAGCAAACCATTGAATTGCTGAAGACCTATGAGCAAGAGTTGCCGGAAACGGTGTTTAAGCTGCTGGAGGTCAGTGCTAAGTTTATGTTTTCCTAGTAAAAGAAATAGAGGGAAAGTTCCAAGATTTCAGAGTGGGGTGAGGTGGGTTTAAGGAAATGAAAATCAGGGCTTGCTGACAACCCAAGGTCCATGTTTTGGACTATATGTGTCATGTATGTGTAATGTCTAGCACATACCTGAAACTCAATAAATTTGAAACAATATGATGCTGGAGTGGTGTGGGAGAATTGATGTAGATAAGTGTTTTGGGTTGTTGTTTTTACCAGAATTAAAGATGAGCCAACTTTTTGAGTCAGTGGGAAAAAAAAAGCAGGTCTAAGAAACATTAAGATGTTGTAAGTAGAAATGGAGACATAGAAAATAGCACAGCACTCCTGAAAGTAGAGAAAAGGGCACAGATTTCCAGGTTAGAGGTTAGGTCAAGAGGAACAAGAAGAACGGTATTGAGTGGGAAGTAGGTGATAGTCAGAAGAGCAGGCAACCCGGGAGACACGTCAAGGCGGGGGGGTTGAGAACGGTCCAGTGGTACTGGGACGTTGGCCCTGGCACTGCAGCAGAGATGAGGACACTGGGTACTGCTCCGCTTTGGGATTGTGGGGAGGGGAGCACCAGGTGGGTCTGAGCATACTGACGTCTCCTTTGCAGGAGCTGCCTGAGAAGTGGAACAACATAAAAAAGTTGGCCATCACTGTGCGGCAGCACGTGGCCCCCCTGCAGGCCAGCGAGGTGGCCCTTCTCCGGCAGAGGTGCACCGCCTTCGAGGCTGAGCAGCAGCAGTTCTGGGAGCGATTCCACAGAGAGGCGCCCTTCAGGTAGGCCCCAGGCTGCTGCCACTGCCTTTTTTCCTTTAAACACAGTGATCTCGGAGTCACTGAGGATCTCTGCATTGCATTTGCCTGTTCTCTTAGGACAGGGACACTAGTCACCCGTCTTCCCTCCCATTGAGGTCCGTAGGTTAGAACATGGTGCTGATGTGGGCAGTCCTATCATGGCCTGAATGAGATGGCCAAGGGCTGTTCAAAAAAAAAAAGGATAGAACTTTCTGTTCCTCCAGGTCTAGAAAGGGATTTAATGTAGTAAAATTACTAGAGGTTTTTTAAAACATAAATCTGACATGTAACTTCGGTAAGTTTACAAGTACAGTGTGTTACTTTGATACATTTACATATTGTGATATGATTGCCAATGTAGCAATGTTTATCACACTGCATAATTATAGTGCAATATTATTGTCTACTAGAAGCCCAGTGCATGAATTCGTGCATGGGTAGGGTTCCAAGGGGGAAAAGGGGGCCGGGACACGATCGGCCCTCTGGGCAGGTGGTGGGACGCCCTTGCTGGCCCAAGATCCGGATCCATCCCACTGACTTTCGCACCAGTTGTCGGGAGCCACCTGGAGGCTGCTTTTATATTGTTTCTTCCTTGCGGAGCATCTAGGGAGAGGAAGCAGCTGTGGTGCCCGAGGCCAACTTCCAGGAGGCCGGCAGTGCTGTTGGGATCATGATGGTGGTGCTGGTCCGTCTGTGCCTGGCTCATTCTCTGGAGATTGGACCTGCAGGACTACTGAGGGAGGGAGTGGCTGCCACCGGGCTGTGGGCCTCTGGGTTGGGTCTCAGCTGAGTGGAGCTCCCACTGTGGAAGCACACTGACCACCAGAAGGTAGCTCCTGTGTTGAGCATCTGCCCCCTGGTGGTCAGTGCACATCATAGCGACCGGTCATTCCAGTCATTTGGTTGTTCGGTTGCTCAGGCTTATATATATATATAGGCCCTATGCACGAAATGCATGCAAGAGTAGGCCTTTGCAGCCCAGCTGCCTCAGCCCTCACAGCCATGGAGCAGCCCCAGCTTCATTCGGAAGGTCATCCAGAAGGTCATCTGGAAAGACAGCTGGATGGTTGTTCTGCTGTTCAGCCGTTTGGTCAATTTGCATATTACACTTTTATTATTATAGATAGATTCTAGAAGCTCAGCATGACCTGTGGGGATGCAGCCGAAACTGGCAGTCCAACGCCACCTGCCACTCCCACTCATCCTGGCCCCACTGCACCTTCCGCGGGCTCATGCCCAGTCAGTCTCAATTGGGAAAGGCTCACGCCGCCACAGCCGCACTCGCCAGCCATGAGCCCTGCATCAGGCGCCCATTGGTCAGCTGAGCAGCACTTCCACTGTGGGAGCACACTGACCACCAGGGGGCAGCTCCTGCATTGAGCATCTGCCCCCTGGTGTTTAGTGTGCGTCATAGCAACTGGTCAACTAATCATTCAGTCGTCCGGTCACTTAGGTTTTTATATATATAGATTCATTATATTGTGCATTCGTTTGTATGGCTTATTGACTAGTTGTTACAAGTTTGTACCCTTCAATGTACTCTTACTGCCACTCCCATCACCTGGTAACCACCATTTTATTCTCATACAATACTTGTCTTTCTATGACTTAGCTCAGTACTATGTGCTAAAGGTCCATCGTGTTGTTGCAGATGGGAGGATATCCCTCTTTCTCGTTGCTGAATAATATTCTATTATGTATATGCTTCACATCTTTTTGTCCATGCCTCCACTGATGGGCCTTCGGGTTGTTCCCTTATCTTGGCTATTGTGATAATGCTTTGATAAACATGGGAGTGATTATATCTCATTGAAATCCGGTTTTCATTTCCTTTGGTTATATACCCAGAAGTGGAATTGCTGGATTGTATGGTAGATCTATAGTGGTTGGAACTAAAGTTTCTAGGATTTTACGAAACTGTTAGTATTCTAAGTTCTCACAGACTCCTTTTGGTTTAAAAAAAAAAAAAGGCTGATAGAATTTAAAATAATTTTGGAAGGCATTTTGGAGGAAGGATTTGAGGTAAAAGATTTACTTTGGGGTGTGCATTCTCTGACACCCCCTACTTGTGATTAGGGCTCTAATCACAACTATTCAAACAGAACAACTATAGGATGGGCAGTCCACTCACATGTGCGCGCACACACACATCTTCCCGTGGTGAAGATGTCCATCGGGGCTCTGTCTTGCCCACTGTCAGCACCTGGGGCTCCAACCAGGAGAACACACTGATCTGGACAGCCCTGTGTTTGCTGGCTCTGGATGGTCCCGTGTCTGCTGGTTCTTATGGTCCTGTGTCTGCTGGTACTGGAAGGTCCTGTGTTGTTGGTTCTGCATGGTCCCGTGCCTGCTGGTTCTTATGGTCCTGTGCCTGCTGGTTCTGGATGATCCTGTGTCTGCCAGTACTTATGGTCCTGTGCCTGCTGGTTCTGGATGATCCTGTGTCTGCCAGTACTTATGGTCCTGTGCCTGCTGGTTCTTATGGTCCTGTGTCTGCTGGTTCTTATGGTCCTGTGTCTGTGGTTCTGGAAGGTCCTGTGTCTGCTGGTTCTTATGGTGTTGTGTCTGCAGTTCTGGATGGTCCTGTGTCTGCAGTTCTGGATGGTCCTGTGTTGCTGGTGAAGCGGGCACTGTTCCCTCACCTCAGCTCCAGGGTTTCTTCCTGTCCCGCTGAGCTGCTTTCTGGCTCTCCCTCTAGTTTGGGAGGGACAAGCTTGGACGTTGCCAAACTGAAAATGCCCTACGTAAGGAGGAAGAAACGTTTTCATTTTTAAGGGTTACTTACCCACGGAAATACAATGCTGATAGACACAGGTTAACATAAAAAAAAAAAACACCCACAACTTTATTGGAAGGACGTTTAGCAGAGTGATTATGTACATGGACTTTGGGTTCAGGCTGCTCAGTTAGACGTCTAATCTCACGTCAACAACTTACTGTGTATGTCAGGGAGCTACTCAACATCTCCCTGCTTCCATTTCCTCATCTGTTAAATGGAGTTAAGAATAACATTCACCTCAGAAGGTTGTTAATCTTTGTTCTGAGCCTGCCACCAGGGTGACCAGCCATCCCGGTTTTCTTCGGACTCTTCTGGTTTAACCCTGAAGGTCACACATCCAGGGAAGCCCCTCATCTCAGGCAAACTGGATCATGGATCATCCAACCTGGCAGTGAGGACCTACTTAATCCTATTATTTATTCATCAAACATTTATTAAGCAGCTACTGCCTCCCCAACATTATACTTGTGACTACAGAGAACAGGACGAGTATGTTAGGAAGCAGGGAAGGACACACGTGAGATATACAACCTGGTCTCTGAAGCAGTGTGCTGCCGTGAGCTGCCCATCAGAGTCACCTGGGGGCATTAGAACTCCCAATGCCCAGCCTTCCTACGGACCATCAGTACTTGGTGACGCCCCCCAAGTGATTCCAATGTGCAGCCAAGTTTGCGACTGCTGCCCTAGGGGAGTAACTGGTTCAGTGGTTCTCAACCTTGGCTGCACATTAGAATCACCTGGGAACCTTTTTAAAATCCTGATTTCTGGGCCTCATCCTCCGGATATTCTGTTTCTTTGTTATGGGGTGGGGCCACAACATTAGTAACAAAGAAACAGCATTTCCGGAGGATGAGGCCCAGAAATCAGGATTTTAAAAAGATTCCCAGGTTATTGTAATGTGCAGCCAAGGATGAGAACCACTGCTTTAAGTAGTCTTGCCAGGGCACGTGGCCCCAAACACGTGAGTATCCTTGAGAGTAATTGCCTCAGGAACTATGCCCTTGTTCCAAAGAAGCATCTATTGCTTGAAACATTAGTGGTGCTCCTTCCGGGACTTTTCAGTGGGTCTGAGGCACGTTGTGTTGACTCTCCTTTGGCATAGGGTAGAAGCTTCGAAATCCAACACTGATGTTGCAGAGCCAGAGCTGATGGTGAAACTGGTTACCACCCTGGGTCCTCCTGCTTCATGTTAGGAGCAGTCACACTTAACCATAAGTACCAGTGTGACTTAAGGTACTTAAAAAGAACAACACAATTTTTTTTTTGCATCAGCTGTCTCTAAAGAAAATTTCAGGAAAGAAATTCTAAAGATGTTTGGTGAACTACCTTCCCAAACAGACTTCTGAGACTGCTTGAGAGGAAACAGCGCCTCGTTTGCTGGTGTGCTTTTGCATGTCTGTTGGAAATCTGGTGGCCCTCCCTCCTTCGTTGTTACATCAAGTGTGCATATCGATCAGCTGGCGTTGTTTCTTCATTTGCTAGCTGCATTGTTCTCTCTTTCTTAGCACTTGTATCTGCTGCCTCTGAGGACATCGCTACTCTTTGCTGGGTTTTCCAAATTCACATCTGTTAATTTGACATGCAGATGCATCTTTGCAAAAGAAGCCTTTGAAAAGAACTGCTCGCAGCAGTGTGGGAAACCAGACGCTGCCGCAATTCTGATGTATTTCTCTTCTTGTCAAGAAAACCGTCAGACTAGAGCAGAATTGTAGATTTGTTGCTGAAGGGAGTCTTAGTGGGTGTCAGCTCATGTTTTTTTTTTCTTTTTTAATCCTCACCCGAGGATATTTTCCCATTGATTTTCAGAGAGAGTGGAGGAGAGAGGGAAAAGACAGGGAGAAACATCAATGTGAAAAAAACACACATCGATTGGTTGCCTCCTGCAGGCCCCGGACCAGGGCCCAGGCCAGGGAGGAGCCTACAACTGAAGTGTGTGCCCTTGACCAGAATTGAATCCAGGACTCTTTGGTCCACAGGCTGACGTTCTCTATCCACTGAGCCAAACCAGTTAGGGCTCAGCTCATGTTTTGTTTGGTTTCTTAGTTTGATGTTTGTGAATTTGTGTGTTTAAAATTTTTAAAGTACTGCGTGTGGCAAATGAGTATAATTCTGGCTCCTTCACTTTTAGGTCCTTTACAGATTTCTAAAATGCAGACCCTGGTCCATTCCTCTGTGAATGCAAGTTTCTGCTCCTGGGTCGATTGAGGGTTAAGCTCACACTGAGCTTGTCTTTGAAGAGAAAAAGGAAAGTGAGTGTCTCATTAAGCGCTTATAGTCTGACAGGTGCTGGGTGAAGTCAGGTTGCTTGGGTTGAGGTTCTTCATGTTCAAGTCAAGTTTTACTACCTCCTTTAGTGCTGAACTCTAAGCTGTCTCAGCATATTCTTAGCTGAGCTCTCTCACAACACAGCAATTGGCTAAATCATCATACTCAGATTCAGGAACTTTCCACAAATTTTAAAATTGGAGACTAACTCTTCCCTTTTTGAGTGAAAGGAATGCTTCATTCATGCTTCTAGCTGCATTCACTTCTTTAGTCTTCCTGACCTTGAGCAAGGTCTTCCTGACCTTAAGAAATGATGCCATGACATACAATCTTTTTACCCACATCAACGCCAAGTAACCCAGGGGTTTCTAAGCCAAAGCATTTGATCCCGATGAGCTCCAGCTCAGTGGAGGCCATTCGTGTTTTCCGCTGGAAGAGCGATTAGAGAGAGATTGGGGAGGGAGAAGCAGCAGGATTGACTGAGTATGGGAGATAAATAGAGAGGAGAGTCTAGCATAATTCTCCACCTGGGTGGCAACCAGATTCTGTGAACAGTTGGGAGAGCATTCTTGGAGACACTCTCTCACTGGGTGTTGCTCTACATGATAACCAGAGAAAGCAAGGCTTTCCAAATAGCCCAGTGCAGCAGACACGAGGAAAAAAGGGCCCCATCTTGCTTGCACAGTGTCTGCTGTCTCTTTGATAGCTAGAGAAAAGAGCTCTATTATTCATTAAATCTCCCAGAGACGTATTGAAATCCTAAGACCTGTCATTAGTTCAGCTTGATCCTGTTCTTCCAGTTAATCTGACTCATTCACATGATTCAGGCTTCCATAGAGCAGAAGAGGTTCTGGTCTTAACAGTGGAGTTAGCAAAACATGATGTAAGTGGTAGGGTTTTAAGAAAATGCACATTCCCTGACCTCTGAGACTTCCAGCCTCAGGGACAATTTCAAAAATGAGTAATTGGACATGTTCATTGGGTGCCAACTTGAACCTCCACTGAGGAGGCAATTCACACTTCCTGTAGAAGACAGTGCTTGAGCCATAGGTAAATGAAAATTAGCCATTTAGAGAAAAGAGGTGGAGGGAGGGAGGACATTCTGGGCAAAGGCAGCAGCATATACAAAGGCACAGAAGAATGAAGATGCAGGGAATAGCTGGAGAACAGCCTGTGTGTATGGCTGGAACGCAGGAAGTGGGAGATGAGTGTGGAGGGGTCCATGTGCCCAGGTTTAGTCAATGATCAGCCACTTAGGAGTCTAAATACCATGCTCTGATGACTGTTGAGAACAGATTAGGGTGAAACAGGCCAGGTGCTCCATGGAAGAGCAGATGAGAGAGAGATTGGGGAGGGAGAAGCAGCAGGATTGACTGAGTATGGGAGATAAATAGGGAGGAGAGTCTAGCATAATTCTCCACCTTTCATTTTGTACAAGTAAGTGGAAGGTATTGTTTTACTGCTCACTGAGACAGGGGGCCACAGAATGAGAAGAACTGAAAGATCACAAATTCAGATCGGATATGTGGAGTTTTACGATAACCTCTGGAGTATCAAGCAGAGGTGGGTTATCATTCACTGTATATGCAGGTATGGTACTGAGATGAACATTTACCAACTGCTAGCTTCCCAAGAATTAAGTCACTTATTCCACTCCCTCTCTCCCTGTGCCCATGTCCCGGTCACACCTGAATCAATCACTTTTCTAAGATCACACGCATGAGCACCATAGTTCCATTTCTCTTAATTATAATTTTATTCATCCAGACTTTCTAGGCATTTCTCTTTTAGATTAAAATACTTTTGCATTATTATTTTAATTTCAAAGACTTACTATACCCTTTTCCCTCCTATTACTTTCTTGTTCTTATACTGTATGGCTCCCTCAGGGTTTGTAGAACTGCTTCAAGTTTATTAGGCACATTAATCAGGTCTACGAGTATCCTGACAATTTGCACTAGAGTTTTGAAATGGGAAGAGGGTTACCTGCCCTCATGTCTAGAGGTTCCTTTCACTCCTTAGGCCAAATTGATTTTTATGTGTGCTCATCTACAGGAAATGATTGTCCACAAATTTAAACTGTAAACAAAAATTATGCCACGGGGCTGAGGAAGTTTGGAATAGGTTCGACAAATGATCACCTCTTATGAATATTTAAGGAACCAATATTGATTAAGAATTTCATATGTGCTGAGGAAAGAGTGGCTAGCAAGATTGTTTATTATCTTCTGCGTATACCCCCAAACACTTGAATCATATCTTACTAATAAATTATTCCTGAATTATAGTCCATTAATAAATTAAACAAAATGTGGGCTTTTAGAGTTTTGTCTGATAGATTTTTGTATTAACACCAAGAGGCTAAGTTTACTTTTAAAAAAATTTTTTAATATATTTTTTTGATTTTTTACAGAGATAAAGGGGGAGGGATAGAGAGTTAGAAACATCGATGAGAGAGAAACATCGATCAGCTGCCTCCTGTACACTCCCCACTGGGTATGTGCCCGCAACCAAGGTACATGCCCTTGACTGGAATCGAACCTGGGACCCTTCAGCCCTCAGGCCGACGCTCTATCCACTGAGCCAAACCGGTTAGGGCTAACTTTACTTTTTAGGGCTATTCTAGTTAAGATAAAAAGCAGATCAGCCACTCTCCAACAGTTAGTCTTTGCAAATGAAGAATAAGCAGAAGAGCATTTATGCCTGGGGATCTTTCTTGCTGGACCCCATGCCATGAGGATTTACCTTTCTTTTCTTCTAGGTCTTTTTCTACTGCTCTTATACGGCAGTGAGCGCCTTGCCTATATAAACATAGGGCCCCTAAACTTTGGGGACTCCAACCTTGCATTTCGTTCTGAAACACTTGGGAGCCAGAGAACAGTGAAGATGTACAATGTTGAATCTCATTCTTGTAAGATGTAAATCCACAATCAAAGCACATGGGCCACAAAGTATTTGAACAAGTGGGAATCAAAGATAGGAAGGATCAAAGTTACCCTGACACTAATTTAATGGTAGGCATAACTGTTACTGTGTTCCATGATCATTACGCTTAAGTGGTGAGCAGTTCAGGTGAATAGCTTTCATTCAGATTATTTTCCATCTTCTCCAGTCAAATATTTCCAAAGACATCTGAAAGAAGAGGCAGTTCAAGAAAAAGAGTTCATATGTCATTCTCTTCCTTTTTGCCTCTCCTCTATACCCCACCAACTAACATGCCCAATCCTAGTCACTCATTTCCTCTCAACTTCACCTTCATGATGTACCTGATGATGCCCTATTCTGATTGTAGAGGAACATAGTATTCACCCTGAAGTCATGGTATCCCCAATATCTAGCCCTCCAGCCACACAGAACCAAGAAAGCCTGAGATCAGAAAGGGTTAAAGCGAGGTTAGGGGAGGAAAATGAGAGGCTCCTTGAACACATGGGTTCTGGGCTCTCCTGACCAAGGCAATGTCATCTTCCCCTGTGGGTTCCTTTGCATGGAAAGTTCTGATGCTGGGGTAGGTGCTATTCTGGTGCTATACTGGGGGGCAGCATAAAGTAGGTTAACACTGGTGAGGATCAGCAGCAGTGGATGTGTGCCGTAAGCACCAGAGAGAAGAGGATGAGGAAATGTGAACTGAAACTGTAGAGCTAAGTATCTTCTTACAGGAGTCAAGTTCTGATCCAGAGGCTGCCCCTGGATGTGGAGGGAGCAGGCCAGAGAAGGGTGAAGGGGCAGATCAAGGACAGCTTGGCAGAGGGACTTGAGACACACAGTGACTGTATGGGTCTTGGTTCAAGTGGTTCTCAAATTCAGAGGTGCTGTTGCCTGAAGGTGAGGCAGGTTGTCAGACAATGACGGCAACCTGGCACATTGGAACCATGTGAGGAGTTTGAAAAATACCCTTCCCTGGGTCCCACACCCGAAGATTCTGGTTTAATTGGACTGGGGAGCAGCCTGAGCCTGGAAATCATCTAAAGTTTCCAGGAGATCTACTCTGAAAATCCTACTAGACTGAGAGCCACTGCCCCAGAGGGAGCAATGCCAGGTGGGGTCCGGGCTGGACTTCTGAGGGCCAGCGCTGTCACTGAAGGACTGCCTATGCTTGTAGCTCCCAGAAGGAATCTGGCTTTACAGCACCTACAGTACAAGACAATGCTTTTGTCAAGTGATGTGGAAGCCAACCGAGGGGAGGCTAATAGGGGCTGGACAAAGGGGTGTTCCCCCTCTACCCCTGGATGGGGAAGTTGGTAAAGCAGAGGATGAGAGAAGTATTTTTACCTTCTCCCACGTGAAGAAAAGATCCATGCGTGATATTCCTCTTGAATTGCCTTTCCCGCAACTGGTTATGCCTAGCCTATTCCAACCTCCCTGAATGTCTTTTCTTCCCAGGCTTTGGTGGAAGTCACTGCTCTTTGCTAAAATCCGAAGCGTTTAAAGATGTAAGCTGGTGTTAGTTTGGGGATTCTAGGAAATGGGGGCCTGTCTGCCACACTTACAAAGCGAACACATTATGTTTTGTAGGTTTGATAGCACCGACCCTCATCAAAGCCTGGATGCCAGGCACATGGAGCTCCAGGAGATGGAATCCGCCATGGCCTCCATTTCCGATTCTGCCAGCTTGTTTGAGGTCAACGTTCCTGACTACAGGCAGCTGAGGCAGTGCCGGAGGGAGATCTGCCAGCTGAAGGAGCTCTGGGACACCGTTGGCATGGTGACCTCCAACATCCATGCCTGGGAGGCCACCCCATGGAAGAGCATCAACGTGGAGGCTATGGACTTGGAGTGCAAAAGGTTTGCCAGGTACCTGCGGAACCTCGACAAGGAGGTCAGGGCCTGGGATGCATTCACAGGCCTGGAAAGCATGGTGTTGAACACACTGACCTCCCTGAGGGCAGTGGCTGAGCTGCAGAACCCGGCCATCCGGGAGCGGCACTGGAGGCAGCTGATGCAGGCCACGGGCGTGAGCTTCACCATGGGCGAGGGCACCACCCTGGCACAGCTTCTGCAGCTCCAGTTGCACCGCTTTGAGGATGAGGTCCAGGGCATCGTGGACAGAGCTGTGAAGGAGATGGGTATGGAGAAGACCTTAAAGGAGCTGCAGGCCACGTGGGCCGGCATGGAATTCCAATACGAGCTCCACCTGCGGACCAGCGTCCCTCTGCTGCGTTCAGATGAGGACCTCATCGAGGTTTTGGAGGATAACCAAGTCCAACTTCAGAACCTGATGATGTCCAAGTACATAGCCTTTTTCCTGGAGGAAGTGTCGGGCTGGCAGAAGAAGCTGTCCACGGCGGACGCTGTCATCTCCGCGTGGTTTGATGTGCAGCGGACATGGTCCCACCTGGAAAGTATATTCATTGGCTCTGAAGACATCCGGGCTCAGCTGCCCCAGGTACCTGCTCAGGGAATGCTGCTTGTTTCCCTACCTGAGCCAAGGGAAGAGCGCCCAGTCCCTGCATCCTCTAGGGCCGTGGTCGGCAAACTGCGGCTCGCAAGCCACATGCGGCTCTTTGGCCCCTTGAGTGTGGCTCTTCCACAAAATACCACGTGCGGGCGCACACGTACAGTGCGATTGAAACTTCGTGGCCCATGCGCAGAAGTCGGTATTTTGTGGAAGAGCCACATTCAAGGGGCCAAAGAGCCGCGTGTGGTTCGCAAGCCGCAGTTGCGAGCCCCAGTTTGTTTGCTGAGCAGCAGTTGCTGACACTAGGGTCTAGACCAGCCGTGGGCAAACTACGGACCCGCGGTCCGGATCCGGCCCGTTTGAAATGAATAAAACTAAAAAAAAAAAGACCCGTACCCCTTTATGTAATGATGTTTACTTTGAATTTATATTAGTTCACACAAACACTCCATCCATGCTTTTGTTCCGGCCCTCCGATCCAGTTTAAGAACCCATTGTGGCCCTCGAGTCAAAAAGTTTGCCCACCCCTGGACTCTAGACCTTCCCTTCTCTGCCACTCACCATGGCTTCACTCAAAGGCATCTCCAACAAACATGACCTGACACGCCGCCAAAAGTCAGGCAGAAAAAAAGGGAGAAGGTGAAACACACGGTATCAGCTTGTTCATAGATGGGTGGGGAAAGAGAGGAGAACCTGGTTTTTAAAAAGTAAATACAAGAAAGGGGAGAAATATTAGTACTGCTGTCTGGGGTGAGCTGCTCATGGGTCGCTCCGCAGGTCATTAGGATGCAGGTCTAGACTAGCAGGGGACTTGCTTTGCTGGCAAACTCCAGCTACTTCTCAGCAGTGAGCCATTCTGCAAACCCCATGTCTGCGCCAGATGCTAAATACCTGTCTTCAGCTAAATAGTGAGCGATGAATTTCTCTAAAACATGTGTTCTCATTTCTCCCTTCCCCGAGGTTGATTGCCTCTTGTCCTAATTATTGTGCCATTATCCCGCCCTCCTCTCAGTGGGCTCTAATTCATTTACAACATTTTTTATGTTTGTGGCCTTTTTCTCTATCTCTTCAGCACAGAAAGTTCTTTGCTTACAGATCAGTTTGATTCCAAAATGTAACATGTAGTTCAGGTCTTGCTTGAAAGTTAAAGCACATTTCATTAAAACGTTATATGTTTCCAACTCATCCCACAAAAGCATGTGGAATGTAATAATGCAGATTAAAGGTTGTACATTTGGAATGAAAGGCAACAGAGAAGTAACAATTCTGTTAGAGCCATTGTAATTCAGCCAAACTGAGCAAGCCAGACTTTTTCCCTCCAATGCCTGTGATGGAGGAGGAGCAGGTCTCATTAGAAGGTAAGGACACAGGTGGAGACTTCTGTAGACTTTATAGGGAGCATTCGAGAACTTGCAATTACACATAATAAAGAATTAGCATCATTAACTTCTCAACACAGGTTGGTGTTAAAATATGTAAATATACATTCATTTTCTTTGTATTAGCAATGCAACAACAGAGGCAATTTCAAAACAACAAAATCAGTCATAATCTTACACTCTGACTAGTAGCTAATTACATTCAATTATGAATATTTCCCAACTTTTGTTCATGTATGTACATAGTTTTACATAATTGTTCTTGGCATAACTATACTTTTTATCCAGCTCTTTTTATTCAAACATTTATGCTGGATATTTCCAATACATCTGTACCCTTGATACTTTGTCATCTTTAATTGGAGTAAAATATCTCATTGAGGAATCATGATTTACTCAACCCTGCCCACTGGTTTGTAAACCTTCTTAGGAGAGATGTGTGGATGCAGAGGTCTGAAGCGGACAGGCTACCGGGTGGGCTCGAGTCCTCACACTCCCGCTTGCAGGGCCTTGGGCAAGTTACTTAGCCTCTCTCTTTCCTGGTTTCCTCACATGCCAATTGGGACTAATACTGATGCCTACTGCAGGAAGTTAATTGAAATAGTACACATCGTACACACCATTATGGTTGTTTGTATGCAATATTAATACCACAGCTGTAAGCAGGTGCCAGGTATTGGGATAAAGTGCTGAACATATCATATATTATTGTCTCAGTCATTTCAGAAACCCTGTGAGGGTGTGGGTGTTTGGGGGAAACAATGGTATCTAATTAACTTTGACATTACATTTGCTGAGGACAAACTTTCCTTGGTTATAGTACAAAACTTCTGCATGGACCCAGAAAAAAACCATTGGGTTCACTATCTACCTGACTTAGGAATTATGTGTTTAATGCCAACAGCTCTCAAAGGGTGGTTCAGTGGCCCCTGAGGGGTCGTTGAGACCTTTTCAAGAGATCCTCAAGGTCAAGCCTACCTTAATAACAAGCTAAAGTGTATTTATTGTTGTTGTTTTTTTATGCTCATTCCTCCATTAGCGGGCAGGGGGGCTTTCCAGGAGCCATGTGACATGAGCTGTCACAACAGACCGAATGCAGAAGCAGACGGAAGAGTCTGGCCGTCTTCTGAGTTAGACCTGACACAAAAGAGATTTGAAGAAGAAGTAAAACAATGCTACTTCTTTCTCTGAGTTATTTTGTTTGGAAAATATTATTTTATTTTTTAATATGTTTTTATTGATTTCAGAGAGGAAGGGAGAGGGAGAGAGAGATAGAAACATCAATGAGAGAGAGACATTGATTGGCTGCCTCCAGCATGCCCCCCTACCCCCTGGGGATCGAACCCACAACCTGGGCATGTGCCCTGACTGGGAATCGAACTGGGGACCTCTTGGTTCATGCATTGATGCTCAACCACTGAACCGCACCGGCTTGGCTGGCAAATATTATTTTAGACAAATACATGTTATTATGTTAACTAATAAGATTAATATTGTTACTTTTTAAATGAATTAACACATATTTTTTAAATTTTTCAACTTTGAAATTTTTATAGCTTCTAATGTAGAGGATATATTGATAGATATAATTATCTACTTACAAAGAGGTTCAACTCTTTGTACTCCAACAATTGTTTTACAGTGTAAGGGAATATTAAGATCAAAATGTTTGTGAGCTCCAGGCTTAAGCTAAAGGTATTGCCTTCTTGGAGTCTTAGGACAGCCTAGAAACAGGTTTTCGTTCTGACTCGCTACATAAGGGGGCTTCTTAGCGTGGAGGGGAGTGGGAGTTCATTGTCTCCCTGTTTTTATTTGCAGGATTCTGAAAGATTTGAGGGCATTGACATGGACTTTAAAGAGCTCGCTTATGATGCTCAGAAAACTCCAAATGTAGTGGAAGCCACCAACAAGCCAGGGCTTTATGAGAGGCTGGAGGACATTCAGAGCAGGTGAGGGCTGCTTGCTGCCCCTTGGTGAGGACGGAGGAGGCCTGTCCTCCCCTCTGTCCCTGAGGTCCTCGCTTCATTTAAATGCCCAAGGGAGCGAGCATGTGTCTGTGGTTTGCTTGCACAGTGGGTAATACGGGGTGTAATGAGAGGTGTTTATCCTGATGGAAATGGATCAGTGTGGCATCAGAAACTGCCCCTGCTGATCTCCACATGTGTTCTATGTGTTGCATGTTTCTGCGTGGAGGCAATGCCTATGACCTATGGGTCTAGCCAGCGGTCAGCAAACTGCGGCTCGCGAGCCACATGCGGCTCTTTGGCCCCTTGAGTGTGGCTCTTCCACAAAATATCGGCTCTTCCACAAAATACCAACTTCTGCGCATGGGCCACGAAGTTTCAATCGCACTGTACGTTGTGCGCCTGCACGTGGTATTTTCTCCGGTTCAGTTTAAGAACCCATTGTGGCCCTCGAGTCAAAAAGTTTGCCCACCCCTGGTCTAGCCAGTGGTCAGCAAACTGAGGCTCGGCAAACTGCGGCTCGCGAGCCACATGCGGCTCTTTGGCCCCTTGAGTGTGGCTCTTCCACAAAATATTGGCTTTTCCACAAAATGTCAACTTCTGCGCATGGGCCACGAAGTTTCCATCGCACTGTATGTGTGCGCCTGCACAATGGTATTTTGTGGAAGAGCCGCACTCAAGGGGCCAAAGAGCCGCATGTGGCTCGCGAGCCGCGGTTTGCCGACCACAGGTCTAGGCAGACTGAGTTAGGAAGTTCTGTGTTTGCTCATAGATTGTACCTGTGTGAGAAGGCCCTGGCGGAGTACCTGGACACCAAAAGGCTGGCCTTCCCCAGGTTTTACTTCCTCTCCTCTTCTGATCTGTTAGATATCCTTTCCAACGGCACAGCCCCGCAGCAGGTAAGCCAAGAGAATGCTTATAGAACCCCCCAAAGGACTGAGGAGCCCCAGCAGGGGGGTTTCGGGTTCCCCATATGCCTCCTCCCTTCCTAACTTCAGAGCTTCCTCATTCCCAACCATCACTGCTTCTCAGGACGCCCTCCGACTCACCAATGGCTCTTTCTCCCTACGGTAGAGTTGGAGAAGCTCTGAAGATGGCAAAATGATGCCTCTGGAGAGAGATCCAGTCAATAGCAGCCAAAAGTCATAGCTAAGTCCGGCAGGTGCGGCTCAGTAGTTGAGTGTTGACCCATGAACCAGGAGGTCATGGTTCAATTCCCAACTAGGGCACATGCCTGGGTTGTGGGCTTGATCCCCAGTAGGAGGCATGCTGGAGGCAGCCAGTTGATGATTCTCTCTCATCATTGATGTTTCTCTTTCTCTCTCTCCCTTTCTCTCTTCCTCTCTCTGAAATCAATAAAAACATTTTTAAAAGCTGAAGCTAAAACTCTCCGTGGGGAGATGAGATAGAAGCTGTGTTAACTTGACATCGGGTGGTTTAGTTGAAAGAGTGCATACGAGAAGCCCAAATTTCGGGTCCCACCACCTGTTCTGGCCCCTTATTAGCCATATAGTCACTGCATATTGCTTCTTTGAAACAAACTTTTCTCATCTGTAAAATAGAAGAAGCCTACTGTGTTACAAGATTTTTAAATATTAAAGTAACTAATTGAAGCATTGTTGATATTCGAAGCTATAGTCAGTGGTTTTCAAACTTGAGCGGGTTCAGAATCAGCTGGAAGGCTTGTTAAAATACAGACCCGTAGGCCTGTCCTAGAGGGTCTGATTCAATAGGTATGAATTTGCAGTTCCAAGGATTTCCCAAGTGAAGCTGCCGGTCTGGGACCACACGCTGAGGGCCACTGCTATCTATGACGGAGGCTGAGTCTCACAGTGAATGATGGGAGGGAGGGATGCTGTCTCTACTGCATGCTCCGTGCGCTTTCCTCCCTCCTCCCCAAAGAGATGTTTTTAGTTCTCTTATTTTTCTTGAGACTGAGGAGACACAGTCCAAGACTTTATTCAGAAGTCACTTGGATGAGTTCTCTTTCTCCTTCAGTGTGATTTTGTTACTCATTCGAAGTATAGCTGGGCTCTCTTTACTTTCAGTTTCAAGGTTTTCCACCTCATTTATTTGCTTGTTTGAATATGTAGAATTCTGAAAGTCAAACTATACACAAAGATGTGAGGTGTCACTCATTTCCCTATTCCCTCCATGCATCACCACCTCCTTCCCTCTTTGGAAGCCAATTCCATTAGTGTTGGTTTGCCTTTCCCATGTCTATATTTGCAAAGATAAGCAGGTGGACATTTACATTTGTACATTTTCTTCTTCCCATTTCTTTCTTACACAAAAGGTAGCAAGCTCTTTTTTTTTACTTAGTTATATATCCTGGAAATCACTCCATATCAATTCAAAGATATCTCCCTCTTTATTTTTACATCTGCATCATACTCCATGGACTAATACAATGTAGTCTGGCCATAAGTTGTTGATAATATTTTGCAATGACAAATAATGCAGCATTAAAAAACTTTGAGCCTTGTATTATTGGAGGTTTACCTTCCAGGTAAATTCCTAGAAATAAGGCTGCGGGGTCAAAGGGTAAATGGCATGTGATCTTGGTAGATTTGCCACATGTTCCCTCATAGCAGCTGGATCTTTTCCCATCACCACCGGCTTCTCCAACAGCTAAAAGATGGCACCCATGCCTAAGCTTTCCGTGCTTGTCACTAACTTTCTAACTTAGTGAAATTATGTTTTTGTTAAGGAGAAAGTGCTAAAGAGAGATTAATCCTAATAGTTACATCCCTTCTTTTTTTCCCTATAGATTAAAATATTTCCAAAGCAGCGCAGGCACAGTGGAGCTGAAATATTTATCACGTTAACATTCTGTTTTATAACTATATGTTCATTAATTCTATGTATAGGAGGAGGTCAGAGATCGTTGCCAGACCTTTTAAACCTCTGCACGTGATATACTCATTCTTTATTCTTTATTTTTATTTATTTATCTCGTGGTTTGAGTAAATCTCTAAGTGGTGCCCCACACCTCCCACCCCAAGAGATAAAGCATGATAGAGTACTTCCCAATTCCTTCTACGTCTGTGACTCTCTTTAGTTTTCACATGTGAGTGATTCAGTGATTGGGTTTGGAATTCATGAGCCACAGCAAATTTCCCTCACATTCCTGCAGGCTTAGCTCTGCTGTTTCTGCTTAGGAAAGTCATCTGAGCCTGCCTGCCTGCTATTTTCTTAACCTTTCTAGGTAGCCTGATTTCTTTCTATCTGGATCTCTGAGATAAAAATTTAAATTACATTTTAATTTTAGAAAATTTATGTCTGTTTAAATACTTGCTTTATTTTATTAATTTTTTCAGCACATAATGAGAGGCTTTTTCCTACCTGAAAACCAAGGCTTTCATTCTCTTCAAAAGTTCTCCTTTCAGTAAGTTGAGATTCTGTTTTCTCTGTGCTCTATGCATTACCTTTATATATTCATATATATTTTCATACATATTTTTATCTCTTAGTCCTCTTCCTTGGCATTCTGCAGTAATTTTTCAAGTTTACCCACCCTGTTTAATTTGCTTGTCTTAGTCAGTCCTTTAATATTGCTAACATTGTTACAAACTGTGCTGTGTCATTTGTTGGTTTCCTTACTTTATTTTTCTACCTCTAGCATCTCATCTGACCTTTCACCTCATTTTATAGAGCTCTTGTTTCTTTCATTTAATTGAAAACAATGCAAGGTGACCTTTTTCATAATGACTTCTGTTTCCTTCATTAAAGCTACACACACACACATCCTTACTCTATATTTTGAGTCCTATTTTCTCCTTCTTTTAAGTTGCAGGATATGTCTATGGTCCTATGTTGTTTGTTTAATGTTATTTATTCTTAAATTTAAGCAAAGGGTCATCCCATGAAGATCTTTGTCACCATGATCTTGAACACCTTCACAGCCCACAAATACACAAACGTTTTCATCTCATCTCATAAGCTAGAGAGCTGGTTACTGTAAATGTAAAACTATACTCGGGGTTCCTGCAGCCTGAAGGACCTTATCCTTCACAAACCTCCTTCAGAGAACAGTTTTCTGCTTGTTGTTCCTCCTGGAGCCTGCTGTTTCCCTCACCCCTGGACCACAGTGTGGTTCTGTCTAGCATTCCTTCTAGAGAGCCTGCCTGGGCTTCGTGGTGAAGGACATCTGTGTCATGAGACACCATGCTAGGGAGATGCCCGGCACAGCCAGGCTCTCTGCTGGGGGTGAGCATGCCTGCCCTGGCTTTGGACCCTCTAGATCAGTGGTTCTCAACCTGTGGGTTGCGACCCCTATGGAGGTCGAACAACCCTTTCACAGGGGTCGCCTAAATACATCCTGCATATCAGATATTTACATTACGATTCATAACAATAGCAAAATTACAGTTATGAAGTAGCAACGAAAATAATTTTATGGTTTAGGGTCACCACAACATGAGGAACTGTATTAAAGTGTCGCGGCATTGGGAAGGTTGAGAACCACTGCTCCAGATGTTTGTCTGCTTCACCAAAGCACTTCCAACAACTGGGTGACTTCTTCCACAGACTCCAGATTCAGGGGTGTTAGCATTCTTCTGCAGGCTACACTGGGCTGATCTCCTGCCCCACAGTAGTATTTTCTTAGGAAGAGGGTCTAGTAATATAATACTAGAATTCCTACTAGTATTATATTACTTTGGCCACTTCTACTCATTTAGTTGGTTCCCATTGTCACGTCACCATCATTCCCACAAGCTTCTTCTAAGTATTTGGTACCCAGCCCTCTAATAGTGGTCACATGCCTAGACCTCTAAACAACACCTTCTCCAATTCGTTGCCATGGTTTCCCCTCATAGGTTCAACGCCACCTTTCCAAACTCTTTGACAATATGGCCAGGATGCAGTTCCAGCTGGACGCCAGTGAGCAGCCAACCAAGATAAGTCTCGGCATGTACAGCAAGGAGGAGGAGTACGTGGCCTTCAGCGAGCCCTGCAGCTGCAGTGGGCAGGTGCTGTGAAAGTCCTTTCTCTCAAGTATCTGCCTTCAGATACAGTCAGCACTGACCTTCGGCACGGCCTTTGACCTTAGGCCAGAGCTGCTTTCTGTGTCCCATTGAACCCACAGCTTCCGCTTCCGTTGACTTGATCCAACCCTGGAGCAGCCTCTCATGCCTGCTTTCCTCTCTCTGGGAAGGACCTGTGTCAGTGTTCATGTATCTGCCTTAACCAAAGACCTGTGCAGAGAGGAAGGAAATGCACATAAACAGCTCCCTGAGTCGATGAGAAAAGGGTTACAATGGTTAGCAGTACCGGAGACTTTGACATGACATCCCCTGGAGCACCCCACAGGAACCAGGAACATGGACATCTGCCCCAGGAGAAAACACCCCTTAAAATCAACCATTTTTCCTGAAATGTCACTTCTCTGTTCAAATGCACCCCAGAGTCATTCCCTCCTTGCAGAGCCAAGAACTCTGCCTCCAGATTTCTGTTTATAATTCAAGAAACATACCCCGGCCAGTGTTGCTCAGTGGATTGAGCTTCATTCCATGCACCAAGAGGTCACCTTGATTCCTGGTCAGAGTATATGCCAGGAATCCAGGCTTGATCCCTAGTAGGGGTGTGCAGGAGGCAGCTGACTGATGTTTCTCTCTCATAGATGTTTCTATCTCTCTCTCCCTCCCCCTTTTATTCTCTAAAAAAAATCAATAACATTTTTTTAAGAAAGAAACAAAAAGCATGGGACAGTTTTCTGCTTCAACCCCTTTACCATCCTTCACCATTACCACTAGATATAAGTCCTCTTCATTCATTACCCTGAAATACCCAAGTACAGTAACAGCTGGAGAAAATATCTTTTGTAGAGTTTCACCTTCATCCACATGTGTCCTGGAAAGCAATTCTAATACGGAAAATAATCAGACTGCTTTATGAGAGGAACCCCAGGGTTTGGTTCGGAATGTACTCTTTTTGTAGACTGAGAAAGCATTTAGTTGGAAAATATAATCCCGGTTCACATCGCCATATTCATGGACAGTCATGAGAATCCACTGACTTATTTACACCTACCTCAACCCAGATTAGGATTTCCTTTATGAACCCTGGATGGCAGTCTGCCCCCCAACCAACCCCCTTAGCCTGCCACTCTGTCCTGTGTGTTCAATGGGAACATCCCCCCGCAGTTAGCTGAGCCTGGTGCTCACCTATAACCTGGGTTACACAAATGAGCCGTCATCTCCTGTGCCTGTGGCAGCCGTTGGGGTTGTCCTCAGGGCTTGGCTGCACTGTCTTCACTCCCTCGGGCTAGGAGGAAGGACACGTGTATTACTGATCATATCTTCTCAGAAACCAGGGGCTAAGCCAGAGGTCTTCTTTCAGGTGGAAACATGGTTGGACCACGTGCTTGCTCACATGAAGGCCACCGTGAGGCATGAGATGACCGACGGTGTGACTGCCTATGAGGAAAAGCCCAGGGAGCAGTGGCTCTTTGACTATCCAGCTCAGGTACATCCTAACCAGACCTTCGTGGGCCCCGGTTCCACTGGGCTCTCTTTCCCGGGGACCTTGGTCAGCCTTCAGGGGTGACCAGACATCAGACTCACTATTGGCTTCACAGTCAGGAGAAGCTGGTCTGTGAGGCGTCAGCAAGAGGGAGTAAGAGAATTGTCAGCCGTGACCTAATTCAACCAAAACCTGGGGAAAGGAGGGGTTGTTGTTTTGGCCCTCACTGGCTGCCGTAGGGAGAAAATGTAAAAGGTCGACTGGTTGACCCAGACGGCTTTGTGCCAAGCTCACCGCTGAGTCTGGGAGACACCAGAAGGGACCAGGACCCTGAACCTGCCCCGCTGGAGTTCACAGACTGCGTTTCTTACAGATGGGCCTGGAGTGGTGACCAAAGGGGCTCGGGGCACTCGGGGGCATAGGGCTAGGCAGTGGGGCCTGGGGACCACCTCCCTGAGAATATGCTGTTCAAGCCGAGGTTTGAAATAGGAGTTTATGAGGTAATGATGGAGGGGAAGAGCAGCCAAGCCTGAGGGAAAGCCTGTGTAAGGTCTCGGTAGCAAGGGGAGCATAGTGTATCTAAGGAATTTGGAGGAACTAGGTGTGGTTGAAGCAAGAGTAAGCCGTGGAGGGAACAAAAGGCAGCAGAATAACTGGAGAAGAAACGAAGCTAGTTCTTAGAGGCCATGTTAGGGAGTCTGACTTGATTCTAAGTCATGTCTGAATCCTTTAGTGGGTTGGTTCTCAGGAGGGTAATAGAGAGCAGGGAAAACTAATGAGAATTTTTTAATGACTCTGGCTGCAGTATACCCCTCCTCCTTTCCCCTATTGGTAGCATAATACTAGTGTTGGTATATTTGGGATTGTAAGTATTTGCTGGTAATTGCAGTCATAGGAGTAGGTGAAGTTGCTCTTGGAAGATATGTAGATTGAAATAAGAATATAGAACAAACCCATGAGCATCACTCAGAGACTGGGTAGGCAGGGAGGAGCCAGTAAAGCAGAATGAGAAATGGTACCTTTTTAGGTAGAAGAAAAACCAGGGAATAGCAACTATGGAAACCAAAAAAGAAACTTGGTAGCAGGCCAGAGGTCAATTATGTCATGCACTCCTAAGAGACCAAGCAAAATAAAGAGGCTGAGGAATGTCTGTGAACTTAGGGAGGCCATTTCAGTGGAGTGCAGGGGGCTGAGAAGTGAGAAAAGGGTGGGGAAATGTTGGCAGCAATTATGACAGTGAGAAGAGAAGGGATATAGGTGGGTACTGCATGAGGGAAGAGGTATTTTTAACAGTACAGTTGCTGCATCACATTCAAACCATACCAACAAGATGCCAGTGCAGGAGGAACTCCTATAACAAGACCCAATGTCTAAATCCAAAGGCAAAGTGGATAAACTAGGGAGTGGTGCCTTTATTGCAGCAGGATTCTCTGTTTCACAAAGTGGGTGACTCCCTTTGTTTACTTGAATCAGAATTTGGAGGCATGGAAGCTTGTTGCCTGCTGCTGTTATAACTTATCTTCCAACCATGTCTCCCAAAGCAAATGATCCTACAGGTGATCAGTGTATCTAACTTCTCCACCATGAAGAATCAAAATCATGCGTTTTTCATATCAAGTTTCCCAATAAACAGAAGAAATGTTCATTTGAATTTTTCCCCCATTTATTTATTTTGAATTTGTGAAAAATGCAAATCATATTATCACGTTGAATTTTGGTATAATTCACCTTGACCTTCAAGAGTAGGCTTTCAACACTATAAGCTTTAAGAAATAAAAAATGTAGTGAAAGTATTACATACAAGCAAGATACACCACAAGTGATCAGCAATGGCTCACTCAACTGAAATACTCGGACCCCAAGAGGATTCAGAATGACAGCAAAGACTGAGTGTGTTTGAGATTTCAATCAACATATTGTTATCCTCCCAAGCACAGGATGGATGCTGCAAAACTGAATGATCAGTATAGTGATTTCTGAAAGCCACTGACAATGACTAGAGTAAGTCTTTGGTTGTTCTTAACCAAATGGTATACTTACTAAGAGCAGAAAGTACTTGCCTCACTGCGTTGTAATCACTTCACATCACCAAGGATTCACAGGCATGGCTCACTTAATCCATGCTGGTGGAGAGGGTGGGAAGGGGCTATGCCACTCACACAGTCACATTCTGAGTCCCTTGGTGTGATGAGTGGACTGGTTTTGGAGATAGTCCTGGTAAAGGCTTTGCTGAGTGCCTCTTGTTGCCACAGGTGGCCCTGACCTGCACCCAGATCTGGTGGACCACAGAGGTGGGCATGGCATTTGCCAGATTGGAGGAAGGCTATGAGAGTGCCATGAAAGACTATTACAAGAAGCAAGTGGCCCAGCTCAAAGCCCTCATCACCATGCTGATTGGCCAGCTCTCCAAGGGGGACCGGCAGAAGGTCATGACCATATGCACCATCGATGTGCACGCCCGGGACGTGGTGGCCAAGATGATTGCTCAGAAGGTGAGTACCAAACACGTAGGAGACCCCCTCTCTGTGGGCACACCAATATTGGAGTTAGGAAGAGGCTTACATACAGACAAAGCATGGGGGCCAGACTCTGCACTGGCCATAGAGCTGGGAACGGATCAGGGTGTCTGCTCCGGCCTTTCAAAACCCCATAGAAACAGTGTAATCAGAGCAGCTCATGCCTTCTGAGCTGTGGTGGGCACAGTGTGCTGTGCTCTTAACTAGAAGACAACACCCAAGTCATCCAGAGCCTGTGTGTCCTGTGGCTAAGGCCCACCTGCTACCTGCTGGGCACTGTTTCACCCAGCTGCTCTGCCACTCTGTCTTTAGGTGGACAGTGCCCAGGCCTTTCTCTGGCTGTCCCAGCTGCGGCATCGTTGGGATGACGAGGCCAAACACTGCTTTGCCAACATCTGTGATGCCCAGTTTCTATATTCCTATGAGTACCTGGGAAATACACCTCGCCTTGTGATCACACCTTTGACAGACAGGTGAGTGCTGGCACCAGCCACTGACAGAAATCTGCTCTCTGGCTCATGCATCCAATGGCCATCCAGCATCAAGGCTGCTGTCACTCGGGTTCACAGAGTTCTAGGGGGAGGGCTTGATGAACACAACAGATGTAAAGTAAAACCAAAAGAACAAACCACAGAGCAAACCAATGAGCCATGACTTTTTGAGGAATTACTGGGCAGTCATATACACCTGCGTTCTAACACCAGCTCTAACCCATGCCAGCTGTGTGACCATGAGAAACTTGATCTCATTTTTGGTTTCCTCATCTGTGAAATGGAGGTAGTAACTCACACCTCACGGGTTTTGTAAGGATAAAAGACATCAATGCTTGTAAGAAGCTTAGTGTGTGTGTAAATGCTCAGTAAATGATCCCTATGATTATTTTCTTATCAATCAATCCGCACATTTATTCAGCACCTCTCACTCTGGGAATACAAAGATGAAAGCAAGGTAGTTCCTACTGTTAGGATCTTATGGTTTTTTTAGGGAACCGTATTCTCTGTCATTTATATTAATTCATTTATGAATTCATGCCAGACACTGAGCTAGTCCCTGGGAATGACTAAAACATTCCTTGCCCTTAAACTCCAATTCCAGTGAGGGAACTAGGACATATGTAGGTAATAATTTAAATAGCACAAGGGGAAAACGTATAAGGCCATAGTACCAAGGAGGGCTCAAAGCCGTGTGCTACAGATTTCCAAGCAAGGGACTTAGCAGTGTAAGCCTCCTAGCACAGACGGGGGTCCCACCCACTGTTGGAAAGAGGAGGACTGGTAACACTTCAGCGAAGAGATCTTATCTAATCCGACCTGACCCTCAAGGATGTGTAGGATTCCAATAGGGTTTCAGTAGGTTGTAGAATGGCTGTTAGGGTATCATGAAATTGTACAGAAATCTGTGCGTGTGTCACTTTTTCTAATGAGAGAATCTGTAGTATTCAATAAAGGTTTAAGTGGTCTGGGATCCCCAAAAGTTAAAGAACTACCAATAAGAATTCTAGAAAATGATGCCCTAACTGGTTTGGCTCAGTGGATAGAGCATCAGCCTGCGGACTGAAAGGTCCCAGGTTTGATTCCAGTCAAGGGCATATACCTTGGTTGCGGGCACATCCTCAGTAGGAGGTGTGTAGGAGGCAGCTGATCGATGTTTCTCTCTCATCAATGTTTCTAACTCTCTATCCCTCTCCCTTCCTCTCTGTAAAAAATCAATAAAATATATATTTTTTTAAAAAGAATTCTAGAAAATGAAATTCTGTGGGCAGAGCCATGGAAATGGGGAAACTCCAGCCATGCTCCTGGAAGTCGATTCTTGAATTTTGGAGAGGTAGTTGTTCATGAGGCTGGGAAAACGGGTAAAGGTCAGACTATAAATTAGGAAAAAGACATTTTTATTCAGTAAGTACTGATAAACTGTTGAAAATTTTTCATCAGAGGAATAAAATGATGAAAACTGTATTTTATGAAGATTTATTTGACAGCAGAACATGGGCAAAGGAGAGAAAGGACAGGGGAATAAGGTCATGGTCCCTGTGAGAAATAATATTTTAATTCTGCCGAGATTTCTGCAGATTCTAAGAGCTAGTGCCCTTTCCCCTTATAATTCCATCGAATCCTGAATCTCTTCTTCTCCAAAACGAGTTGTATATCTGAATGCTGGCTCACCCCAAATAGGTGACTTGTAGGCAATGAAGAGACCGTCGTAAATTTTGAAGGATAAAATGGCCAAATAGAATCTGTGCCATCTTTTACTTGATTTTCGCTCTGCCTATTTTAAGTGTTATTGCATGTATCCTGGTTAAATTCTCAAATGTACTTCCAAACAATGTTTAGTTAAATTGTAATCACTGTGCTCCTGGAATAGGATGTGGGAAATGCAGAGGAGTTGAAAATCCAAATATCATCCACAAAGTAAGATCTCATGGTTTATCTCCCCCACCCCCATGCTTTTCACTTTGTAATTCACTTTCCCTGCTATTCTGGAAAGATCTTCCATCCAGAATCCCACCCAGACCACTCCCCACTTCCTCCTTCCTGGGGAACCCTGTAGAGGTCACACCACTCTCTCTCATCACTCCCCACTGCACTTGGACTAAAACCTGAGTTCCTCGTGGGACCTAGTAATTCCTACCAACCACCCTGAGGCCTGGCACTGACCTCCTGTCTGTTCCTTGATCCCTTTAAGTTCATTCCAACTTAGAGCCTTTTGCACGAGTAGTTCCCTCTGCCTGGAATGTCCCTCTTTTCCACTGTCACCTTCTCACCCTTTAGTTCTACTCTCAGTTCTGAGGAGACTCTTTCTAATAGACACCCTCTCCCTGCACGCATGTGTGCGCGCGCGTGCACACACACACACACACACACACACACACAGCAATGACCCTGATGGCTCACTCTGTTTGTCTTCTTCCTGACCTTGCCCACGTTCTGAAATGACCTTGCTTGCTTGCTTGCTGGCTGCATTCCCTTTTGGAATGTGAGCTTTGCAATCAGGAACCTCTGTGTTTTGTTTGTCGCTATGTCACCAGCGCCCAGTAGATGCTGAATAAATACAGCTCAAATAAACGAATGGTGGCTGAACGTTGAAGTATAAGAATGGGCAGAATCCGGAAGGGGAGGTTGACTCAGAGGAGGCACCTACGCAGGAGTCTGTCTGCATCTCTGCTGCTGAAGGACACAGGGCAATGAGGTCATACGAGAAGTGATATTTCTGTCTTCTGCTCTTAGCTGGGGACCACCCTCCTCCCTGCCCCAGCTTAGGCTACAAGGCAGATACCGTCTGTTCAGAGGGAGATGCAGATTTCTCTGCAGCAGGGATGGCAAAAGCAGTAGCAGCGTGGGGAGAGGAGGTTGGCATCTTCAAGGTTTGACGTGGGCTCCATCCGTTGGTGGGAATCATTCAGTGAGGGTTAAAGGAAAAGCTTTCTCACCTGCATCTTCACTCGGAGTGGCCCCTCTCATGTTCCTTTGACTTTCTAGCGACTCTCAGCAAGATACCTCCCCTAAACAGGGAGGAAGTCCGATACAGAATGCTCTGTGACAGTAATATTTTGCTATATTTGCCTGGCCTGAATCATGATCTAATAGAACATCACTTGGAACAGAACAATGAAGCTTTCCTCTATCTGAGCAATTTAATCAGAATCTGTCCATGATGACATTGACGTTGATTTGCTCACTGCTCCACACCCAGGACCCAGCACCATGCCTGGCACATAGTAGGCACGCACGGAATACTCCTGATCTGGATGCAGTGAAACGATTGCTGAGACTTTCAGGTGTGCCCCGCTTCGCCATACCATTCAGAATATTGCCTTCCCCTCCACTGACATATCAGACATTATCGCTCCAAGTGATAACAAGTACAAGACTTTCTTTTCCCGGGGGCTTCATGCCTGCCAACGAGTTGAAGAAGATAATTACCTCTTTTGGACTTAGGAGTCTCTAGAACTCTAATGCTAAATGCCTTATAGAGGGAAAGGCGAGGGCTTTGGCAATGAATTGTTTCTAAAGCAGGAAATTATCACCTCTTCTGTGCAAATAATGCAAATAAGAACTTGAAAGGAAGATTTGCTGCAAACAATGGTGCGGACCATATAGACCTTGACCTTGTTTTGCACATTAGACGCTTTTCCGACAAAGTAGGATGTTGTGAATATTTACATGGCACATTCCATTTTCTCAATGACTTCCATTATTATCTCAAGAAAGGTTTTGCACAGAAAAAAAAAATTGGCCTAAACACAGAAAATCACATTTTAAAGAGCATCCAGCTTTTGCTGGTGTGTAGCTTAAGTACATTTAATTCTCTCCTGCCAGAGGAATTAATCAAATGGACAATTGATCCACGCAACCTTTGCACATTCATTAAAAGCACACCCGCATTACAGCGCGTCCCACTGACTATGCCTGTTTCTTTGGAATTTCCCACCGCCTGGATGGGACTTGAATGTATAAGCAGGCACGTGGGCTCGGCGCTGTCGCAGGGCCCTGGCACGATGCTAAGTGGAACTAAATGGAAGTGCTTTTTCAGGCTGAACAAAAGCGATTCTCATAAGTTGTGTCTTAACCTTCGGACGGTCCTCCCTCTTGTCCCCCTCACCTTCACACACAAACGCCCCTTCAGCCCTGGGCTGTGTTAAGTAATGTTTTAATCAACCACTTACCAATTTTGAGCACCTCTTCATTTCTCAGCAACCACTGCAAGGAGGTGAGATGTCATTGTTGCAAGAGTCTTTGAAGGTGATTTCCTGGGCAAGGGCACTAGCAAAAGTCATACACTTTTTTTAAAAAGTTTTTTGTCTGAGATTTTTATGGAAAAACTTAGTAATCTGTAAACAAGGAAAATAAGTCACCCAGAGGTAACCATTGTTAATATTGCTTCTACGTGTAGACTTTGAAAAACTGGAATTGCAAACATATACTGTGTGTAAAATGTCATAGATCGCTCTTTTTATTTAAATCATGTGCTTATTCTCTAAATATTCTTCTAAAACATTCTAATAGCTGCATTCCCTTCTACTTACAAGTATCTCATGATTTATCTAACATTATGGGATATTTAAGTTACATCTAAGCTTTTACTGTTAAAATTAAGGCTGTCTGAACTCACTTTTATATGAATTTTTACTACATTTCTCATTAATTCACCAGGAAAGATTCCAAGAAGCAGGATAATTGGATGACACATACTTTCAAATTATTCTTGAAAAAAATGTTGCTCTCACTCTTGCTAGTTTATGAGAGTGTTCATCTCACAGAATTCTCGACAGCATTAAGTATTATTGTTAAAATACTATTAATTTTATGTCTCATTTGAAGTTGGGTGATCTTAATTACTCATAGGCCTGAGCATTTTTATGTATTTATTGGCTATTATATTTTCCTCTTGTGTGAATTATTTGTTACTGTCATTGCCCATTTTTTTACTTTTATATTTATAAAGCCCCTGCCCATTTCAAGATCAGTTTAATATT